AGGCACTTTTGGGAGTAAGAGCTGGCACTGTGAGAAACAGGCTCTTTTAAATTTGTATTTCAGTGAAAAGATTAAATGTGCTTGTAATCATTGCCATCATGCCAGCTGCTAGCAGACTGATCCTTTGCCTGTGTAGCATCCAGCTCCCCCAATATGCATGAGAGCTGTCACTGGCCAGGCCAGAGAGGATCTTTGCAACTGCACAGTGCTCTCTCTGAACCTATGCATTTAATGTTGGCACTGATGAGTGATGCCTGGAGACTTTCCAGCCCCAGGTTAGCTGGTGACAGGAGGCCCCAGGGATAGGGTAGCTGCTGTGAGTAATCAGACAGGCACCTGGTACATACTGAAATATTCAGAAATAGGCAGCAGGAGCTTTCCTACAGGGTCTGAGGGAATATGTACATCTAACTCAGATGCTAGAATACGAAAATGGCACTGTTTTCCTCACTAACTCACAAAATAAAATGAAAAATGGGACCATGAGGGCCTCTGACATCATTATGTGTCACTCAGCCACAACTGAGTTGAGCCAGGGAGTTCCATTAGTGGAACTGGTGGTGTCTGGGTGTAGGGCTGCAGGAGGTGGGAACTGGCAGCTTTTCTTCTCCGTGTGTAACCTGACCTTCCCTCAGTGTGTCACCTTCAAGACCAACCTTGACCAGGGCTCAGCAAGGCTGTGTGTGCTAACTTCCAGCAGAAGGGATGCCTGCTTTACCTTGGTGCTGGGAGAAGGAAAAGCTACTGCAAAGTCGAAAGTTGTTTTCCCTCTTAAAATGGTAATGAGATGTTGGGTGACACTGACCCAAGGTTGCCAGGCTGTAGTTGTTACAGTTGTTGTATTATGACTTAGTTATTCTAATGCATCAACAAATGTAGTCTTTTTTTCTGTCCTGCCTCAGAAAAAGGACTTCTCATCTTCCAGTGATAGACGTCTTGGCTCTGACAGAAATTCAAGGTCTTCTACTTTGTGCCCTCAGCCCCCTTAGGCCAGCAAAAGTGCTGATGGTGGAAAAGAAGGTCTAATGAGTACCAGCAATATATGCATTAAATTCTCATCACATTCTGTGTAACAGGATACGCTGGTAACCTCTCATAAACTACATGCAGTAGTTTATGTCTCCACTAATGTGGTCCTGAAGCCAGAAGCCCTTTTCAATACATTGAGAGTGGGATAATGAGAAATAAAAACATTCTGCATAAAAGTAGGGTGAAGACTTGTCAGCAACCAGTCAGGAGGAAAAGCACATCTAGTTTGTTAGGCGTACATTACAGTGGGTAACTAACAGTGACAGCAGATACGTGAATTTCTCTGCCTTTCTTGTGGAGATACTGACCCAGAATCCACTTGGATGGAAGAATAACAATTCCCTTTACAAAATCAGACTAGATTGAAATAGCAGTGACCCCCAGCATAGGGAAAAAACCAAAAAGCATTGCTCATTCTTACCATGACTTTTGTTGCGCAGAAATTAGTTCACTGAAGCTTGCTCATTTAGGAGACATGAATGAGGAATGCTTTATTATACTTTTTTCTGCCTCCTAGCCTGATGAAATGAGCTGTCCAAGGACTCTCATTCCCTGTCTTCAGCGAGGGAAGCCTCGCTGAAGACAGGAGCATTTAATGACGTGCAGAAGGGGCATTTAATGACATGCAGAAGCTGAAGGGAGAGGCATTAGCACTCCAGTGTCTAGGTAACTCTCTTAAAAGCTTTGATGAAAGTGACCTTCACACTTCATGTGCTCTCTGCTTTCCCCCATGCTTGAAGCTCTAATGATCACTTTTTTCTGCTTTGTCACTGTAGCACTTATTTTTGAAATATTTCCGTAGCTCAGCAGGAATTTTGATCTGGGTGGATGTGGCTTGCAGATATTATATCTGCAAGCCTTAGGTGGGTGCAAAACAAAGGTTGGTATAAAGGATCAGATCTTCTCTTTGTAGAGAACTGAACAAAACCTGGAAACATTGCTAGCTACAGGTTTTTAAAATTTTAATTAATACTTGATTATAAGTATATATTATCCTTTAAGAAAGGATAAAATTATCATCCAATGTTTCTTTGAATATGCCATGCTGTCCTTTTTGAGCAGGGCAGAAATTTGCTGTAGAGCACAAGTGTGTTTGGAATGGGAAGAGTATGTACAACCAGGGGCTTGTAATCCTGTGGGCTCTTGGGTAGCAGACTGAAAATTCTGGGCAGGCTGTAGGTGTATTCATGTCTGGATCGGATGAGAGGATGGGAGAGAACAGAGGGGTGGCATTTGAGTAGAAAAGGAAGGAGAAAAGAAACATCCAGCAATTTAAAATAAGGAGAGCAATAAGTGCCACTAGTGTAGTCAGGCTAGAGAACAAGAGTAAGAAGGAGCCTTTTGGGAAGGAGTTATCTCTAGGGTAGTTTTGTTTATTTTTTTATTTAAAAATGCAGTAGGTATTTGTAATTGTAACTGAAATTAATAGCCCCATTTGAGACACCAATGCCTGCTTGATTAATTGTAATGGGAAATAGTTAAGGTAAAAACGATATATCTTTCTTTTAAGATAATTGAAGTTTTATTTTGTTTGAAATTGAACTTTTCTTGTGGTGTTAATGACATAAATCATGCTGGGGTTCCTTTAGCTTACAGTGAGCAAAAGAGTAAAAAGTTTATTTTCCTGCATGGAGGTAATTATTTTAGCTCATTTTTCATTCTCAACTTTTAATTCAAATAGAAAAAGAGAAAAAACAGTTTTACCAAATGTTATTCTTATGATTCTTGAAGCCCTGAAGTGTTTCTGGAGATGTGTGGTACTCATAGCACATTTCAGAGCAGTTTCCTCCTAATATGAATGGAAAAATCTTTCTCTGATGTCAGCTACAAGTACATACAGATGAAGTATGTGGTTGGTAACACAGAGGGATTTTCATTGTCTTGCAGAAACAGTTCAGTCTGGCTGACTTCCCTGGATGAACTCTAAGACTCAGAATGGAGACAGGTTCTTTTCAGTGGTGCCAAGCAATAGGATAAGAGGCAATAGGAAGAAACTGATGCACAGAAAGTTCCACCTGGACATGAAGAAAAGTGCTTTTAGTGTGTGGGTGACTGAGTACTGGAACAGGTTGCTCAGAGAGGTTGCGGAGTCTCCCCCACTGGAGATATTCAAGATTCTGGATGTAATCCTGTGCCATGTGCTGTAGGATGGCGCTGCTTGAGCAGGGAGGTTGGGCCAGATGACGCACTGTGGTCCCTCTTGGCCTGATGCATTCTGAGATGTTGTGTCCATGCTTTGCGGGTTACTGAGCTGCCCTGTCACCCCACAGGTCTGATCTCGGAGTGCTGCAGCCTTGTAGGTCTGGGTTAATAACAAGTGATGCTGTCAGGCTCCTCTCAACAAAAGGAAATGCTGTTTGTCCAATCTTTAGCAGAGCAGTTAACCTCTCCAGGTATCCTTAGACTGAAAAAAAAGCCCAATGCTTTGATCAGCAAACAGCTTTGCATACGGCTCTGGCAAAAGGGAGAAGCGGTATTAATTTTCATGGTGATTCATTTGTGGGGAAAGTATCATTATTCTATCACTAATTAACTGTGTAGGTACCCAAAGCTCATGTAATATATTGAAAATGTCAGGATATTTTCATCTTTGTGATTTCATTCCTGCTGAGAATTTGTTCAGGACGTGTTAAATTAAAAGCAATATATAAACAAGGTGTGAACAGTTCAGTTAAGTGGTAACCTGAGGTTAAAAACACAGTGATCAAATTCAGTGCCTGAAGTTGGCAGGGAAATTGTCTTACCACCTCGGGAAGGCTTGAAATTAAACTTGTTTTGAAATGTAGGTGTTAAATCTGTGAAAAAAAAATTCACTTGCATATGTAAATGAAGTGGCTTCCCAGAGATGAAAAGAGCATGTTGAGCTCTGGGCTGCCTTTAGGGAGAGAGGGACCAGGCTCCCATCATGTAACCCCTCTGCTGTGGTTCTGTTTTGTAGCATCTCTAAGGAGGAAATCTTTTGGTAAAATCAGGGCTGTGCTCCCTGTCTGGCTGCTCTCGGCCAGCTGTCAACAACAGAGGGTGGGGCTGTGCTGTTGACTGCTTGAGCTAACTGAGACAACAGCTTTGGGGTTATTTTTGTTGGGCTTCTGAGACCTTATTAATTTGAAAGGAGTTTTTGGAGATACTGAATTTCTGCACTGTGCTTATGTTCAGGTTTTTGTTCTCCCTAGCATTGCATTCAGGTAAATGTATGGCAAGTAGCCTTAAAAGGAACAAAAATCCCTTCCCATTTCAGGGTAAGCAGGAGGAGGATTAAGCTCCTTCCCCCAGTAATTGGAGCCTCTGATTGCCATGGCTTTTGAAGATGATTGTGTATCTTTCTGTATGTGATAAATTATGTGTGTGCCTGTGAACTGAAAGGTAGCTTGGCTTTAAAAATCCACTGACTTTTTCCCTATAATAGTTTTACTTTTGGTTATTTATTTTGTGTGCTGACCATGGGACATGTAGCATTTTAGCCAAAAAAAAAAAACGAGGCAGGGGAAGTTCTCCAGCAGCTGTTCCATCTTAGACCCTTCTGAAGACATTGAGGGTTGGTGACTGTCTGGGACCCTTTGGAAAAAGAAAGCTCTCCCAAGGTTACAGTATTGAAGATTCAAATTGATGTGGGAGCAGAGGGGAAAGTGGACTGGATGAGAAACTCCTTAAACTGGTTGAAGTGCAGTCCAGTTCTTCCATGGAGCAAACACCACCTTTCTATCACTCCTGGTCAGCAAAAAATCACAGTTGCAGTTGGATTGTCAGTATCCAACCATTGTCTTCGAAGCTAGTCTATGTTATCTCATGCTTTCTAATCTCAGGGTTTAAATTTGGGCAAGTAGCAGTGTCTCTACCTCTGTGTTTGTGCAGTAATACACATGGTATATTTGACACCCATTCTACTAGCAGGGCTCCAAAGTATTCATGGTATATAAGTGTTAAAGTCACCATTTTGCATAAACCACAAAGTATTTACTTTCTTTTGGCAGATTGAAGACATTGTTACAAGAATGCAAGATGACAAAACAGGTGGAGTTCCCATCCGCACTGTCAAGAGCTTTCTGTCCAAAATCCCCAGCGTGGTCACTGGTAAGAGCCGCAACTGGCGGATAAGAGAATGTGAGCTGGTACTTGCTGGCTCTAAACAAACATACTGAAGCCACAAAAAAGAAGAGATGTGAGGAAAAAAAGCCCCCCTCTGCTTGATTTTTCTATATGTTGTTCTGTTACAGGCTGAAGTAAGATTCCTTACACCTGAACAAAGATTCCTTAGTTCTGTTCTAGTAAACAAGCATTTCTATTTCTTTGGGGTGAGTTATTAAAAAATGTTATGTATCAAAGTATCACCAGTCAGAATTATTCCCTGTGACAGGGGTAGGACAATCTTAGCTAAGAGGTCAAGAAAGAAAATTGAAGTTGTTTCCTTGCTCATAGCCAAATACTCTTACTGGGCTTTGATCGCAGGTAGAGGAATGTGAAATACCTTTTATGCATGTGTGCTGCTTTGTTAAAGCTCTGTGTACAAAAGTGTGAATGGTGCAAAAACCGGGAGTCAGAGTACAAAACCATCCCTCCATGTATTTCCAGACAGAATATCTTCCAATGCAACGAAGACCTCTGCCATTGATAGATGATGAGTTTATTCAGGGTGATGTAAATTGTATGGAGGATTTGTACTTGGGTTTCTGGTACCTGTTTTCACTGACTCAGTAGTAGTGCTCCTGAAGGTTCCTGGAGAAAATAACCATTTATCTGATTTGAAAACTCATTCCCATAAGCTCAAGTCTGCAATACACAGACTGGATGTCTTAAGATTGACTCAGCTAAAAGAGGTTTCTGATATTCTGGTTAAAATTCATAGCTTTAAAAAGGTAATCAATCTAGTCACCAAGCCACTGCTTGTTACTCAAAAGGAAATAGGAGACCTCACAGGATTTTTTAACCATGGTCAGCAGTTCTCTGGCATGATGGAAACTGTTCCCAGTTCTGGAACAGCAACCGCAATTGCATCGTCTTGAAATGGCTGGTTTTCACAACACAGAGAATTGTGAAAAGATGAAGACAAAATAACAAAAAAAACCCTCTCTCCAAAGCCCGTAGAAATTCTTATATTTCAAGGGGAACAAGCACGGTACCATTCCCTTCAGGTGATTTGAAGGCAGCTCCCATGGACAGTTTATGAAGCCTCTGAATTTGAAAGTATGGGAAAATAACAGGCCAGTGGAGAGCCCAAAGTTTTCTCCATTTGTTATTTTTCCTTTCAGATGCATAGACCTGCCTATTTGTAGACCAAAACCAAAAGCAAAATATGTATGCTATCAGTGATTGACTGTAATAGATAGGTGAAGAGGCAGGAGCACCTACATTTGAATGGAAGCTGAGGGCACTGGGTTTGTTCAGTCTGGGGAAGGAAAAGCAGAAGGGAATGACAGGCTTCAAAGACAGGGTCAGATCCTTTCTCAGGAGTGCATGTTGAAAGTACCAAAGACAATCTGCACAAGCTGCAGGGAAAGAAATCCCAGCTAGATTTACATATAGGAAGAAAGTTGTTTACGGTCAGAGCAGGTGAGCATGGGCCCAGTGTCCCAGAGGAGCTGTGGAACCAGTGTTTTGCAGCCGTTCAGAAACCCCTGGGCCCAGCTGAACTGAGCAGTCTGATCTAACTGTTCATTTGGCCTTGCTTTGTGTGAGGGTTGGACGGGACAACTTTCAGAGAATCCTTCCAACCTGAATTACTCTTACGGTCAGTGGATACTCAGTTTTAGTGCTTGTCTAATTCCACACAATGTAATGAACACAGGAGAAGAACTTGAATTTTCAAAAACTTTGTACTTCCCCTTGGGAAGAGCTCGATTCTAGACCATGGCATTCTCACACACTTTATTTCTACCTGAAAAATGGAACAGCAACGCTGAGACGGGATTTACTTGGCAGGCTCACAGTGACTGTGATTAACAGGGATTTATTTTTGCTTGACACTTCTATTGTAATTGCTTCTCACAGGAGAAATATAAAATCTTAAAGGAAAAGAAATATTACAGGAGGTCCTCGGTGCTCCAAACAGGCAGCTCTGTTTATAGTACAGCGAAGTGGGTGTTTGATTTAAAGTTTGAATACTAGGGAGAGAACTGCTCCTCTGTTTTGCTTTCATCTGTCCTGATGCCTTAGGTGTGAATGAAGTATTGGGTAACACAAGGAGAAAAAGCCTCAGGGAGTTATCAATAATGGTCCTTTCTTGACAACAGAAATCTGGAAAAAAGGATGAAAAAACTTTTTTTGAATGTATGATGAGTTTGTGGAGGTATGCTGTGCCAAAGACACATTTCAATCTGCTCTGGAAGTAGATTTTCCTCTCCCCTTCCCAGTCTTTGGCTTGCAGTAGGTCAGTCAAAGGAGAAACATTTCACATCATTATCTTCTTGGTTAGGTCTTCACTTTTATAGGCAAGCCACAGAGAATGAAAGTAGGATGGGACCAGTCTGTGTGGCTCCTGTGTGCATGTGTCAGACATTGTCCAATGTTCAGTTCAGAGTGTGGAATATAGAAAAAAATACCTGAGGGCAGATTTTGAGTAGTGCTGTGATCCGTGCCCAGAATGGGTTGTCAGCCAATGCACATAATGGCAGCTGCTGCAATAAATGGAGTTGCACATTTCTCTTCTAGTGAGAAAAGATTTTCTAGTAAAGCTTTTGTTTCTGTAGATGAATTGTTAATTCTGTTTTCGCAGTTATCAGACTGTTGTAGGAGCATCTCATTATTCTAACCAGCAACAAAACTGGCTTTCTGATCTTCTTTTTGATTTTCATATAATTGCATCTTAAAAGTTACCTCATTTTTGGCAGGAGGACGAATCACATATACTTTTTTCTCCCACTGGTTCAGACTTGGTCTTTTACAACATTGCCAAAACAAGTCAGAAGGAAGTCAGTGCTGCAACAGCAGAGCTTTCCAGTACAAAAAGCTTCCTTCACACTTCCCAATTTGCTGCACATTCCCAATCCTGTGTATCAGCGTCTTTGCTACCATAATCCAAGGGAGACATGCAGTCTAAAACCTTTGCACTAGTCTGCCCTCCTCCCAAGAGGTTTTGATACGGCTTCATTATGATCCATACCCCTTCACTTGAAGCATGGCTGTCCCCACAGCTCCATTTGGAATGATACCTCGTCCCAGCAGCAGTCCCATGGCCGGTCCCTTGCTCCTGCACTGCTCCTGAGCCTCACCAGCACTAACTTGTCCTCCTGCTCTGCTTCCAGCGCTGCCTCCGTCGCTGTGGGTGGATTGATGAGTTATGTCCTGGCTCTCCTGGCGTGGATTGAGTGCTGCCATGCAAGCTTAGTGCACACAGCCCTGCCTGTGCACTTCACTCCTGTCCTGCCATGTCTGTCTTACATAAGCCCTGGACCTCTCTCAGCAGAAAGTGCCAGTTTCACTGAAATGTGCCAGATGGCCTGTCGCTACTAGAGACTCATGAGCTAAACCAAGTTTAAACTGCTGTGTGTCTCTGTCTGAAGAAGCCAGCATGTGTCTTGGCAAGTGCCCATGGAGTTGTCCCAGAACACATCAGAATGTCACTTACTCAAAGAAAATGCATTTGGCTGGAGTGTGGAAATCCCACGGTGTTGTGAAAGAGAGACTTTATTATTGAAAATGTTCCCTGATGATGTAGTTCAAAACAGTCAAGTTCTGCTGGAGAACTTTATACACCCATTGAGAAATTGTCTCCCTTGGGGCCAGTCTGAGGGTGTTTGTTGCCTTTTCCCTTCAGAGGAGGTCAAGCACATCTCTCATCCAGTATAGCAGTCACAGGTCCAAGGGAGAAATAAGTTCCTCGTGTCCATGAGTTGCCTACCAATAGATTTGGCTTCCCTAGGCTGTCTGTCCAGCTGCTTGCATCACCTTAACACAGGGCTTTCACTACAGGACTGAGTCTGCTACAGATTTCCCTCAGCATCTGGGTAATTTTGTTCTAGATATTTTCTGTCTTTCCTCTGTAGTTCTGCTTTGAAAAATAGGACACTTGAAAAGTGGTACTGACTCTGTTTCAGACAGTTAATAGATGTAGATAGTCCCAAATCTAAACCAAGTTCAATCTTCTGCTCAGCAGGAATTAGTCTATTTAGTTAAAACAAGCAAAAAAAGGCCACTAACAGACAAACAAAAAAAAAAATCCAAAATTTAAATCAATATCCAAACTAATACTGGGTGTTTACAGATTTGTGAAGGATATAAAGAACATGCTCATGGGTTAAAAATTGATATATGTTTATATGTACATACTTTATAGTTTTTGATGGTTTTCCACATTTCTAAAGAGCAGATGCTGCACAGTAAATTCAACAGTTTAGCAATTGCTTGGTGGAAACTGGCTTGCCAAATATAAGTTGGTTGGGCATACAAATCCATTTATTTCTCATAAAAAATCAATTTTCTGAGCAAGATGCATTTAAACTAATTCAAGTGAAGACGAGGCTTCTTCATAACAACTTACATTTCCTTCTTTTATGCATCTCTTCAAATTGCACCCAGTGGAAATGTAATCCCTCCATCCCTCAATAAGAAGTCTAGTATTTCAAAACTGCCCTGAATCACACAGCATTAGACATGTCAGCAATTACATGAGTAGTGCATGTCTTGCAATTACTTTTTTTCCTGTAGCTTTCTCTTAATCTCTCTACTTGCATGCCAGGAGACAAATTAACCCAGTTAAGGAGTCAGACTCTTATGCTGTGTTCATCCTCAGCTCCCTCCTCCCTTCCTTTTTCTCCTTAACTGCATCCAGCTTCCTACCTTTCAAATGGTGAGAAGGATGAAGGAAGAGAAGATGAAAATCAGCTTCCTGAAGTGTAGCAATTTTGTGCCTGTTGTAAAGATGCAAAGGAATACCTTGTGTAGCAAAAGCTTAAAGGATTTGATTTCTGAGGACAAGGGGGATAGCAGATTAATCAAATAGGATGTGGTCATCAAAGAAATAAGAGAAAGCAATCAGAATTAACATTTGAAACAATGGACATGCAATATATCTCTCTGTGCATCTGCACATGTGTACACCTAAATGCATGTAAATAGTGTGCAAGTTTTGTTAAGAA